GTAGCACTGATGTGATAGCTTTTCTGAAATAAAGTGGAAGTGATTTGAACCTTCATTATCTATGTCATTACCCGCTCAAACCTCCCCAGGCTCATGCGTGCATTGCAATATCAGAAGTCAAGCTGCTGTGACAAAATCTCTCTCTCTCTCACACACACACTCACACACACACACGTTTGCATGCTTCAACTTGGGGATGGACTTAATGGTTATTATAAAATGTATTCTGAATGCTGATGGGTCAGTATTTAAACTGTGCAACCATTGTAAACACCCATAAAGGCCAATTGTAATTCTGGCCAATAAGCCAATTTTCATATATACATTTTTAAAATGGTTTTCTGTTTTGTCTAAATAAATGAAAAATGAAACGCTAAAAACTAAATTAAGTCATTTTAAATTATTAAATTTGGGCATGACTACATGAGAATGTACAGTATGAACAGTGAATATTCGTTTTGAGATTTGGTTAAGATTACATTTAACACTGTTATTAAAATAATAGCGTTTAAAAAAAAATCCTAAGTGTCTGTTAAAGTCATTGAAATAAAAAAATAAGAGAAAGTAGCAAAATCACCATGTACTATTAAATATCCAATGACGACTGATACTGATAATTAAACAAACAAACAAACAAAATAATAATACTGAAATATTGTTCAGTCAAAATATCATTGATTTAATTTGCTTGGTAAAATAATGTTGAAATTCAATTTTATATCCTTACATTTTATTATATAACTTAGTAATCACAGTTGTTATTGTTAACTAAAAGTTAAGCTAATTAAAATAATTTTTGGTAATTGAAATAAAGTAAAAATATTAGATGAAAAACTTAAACTTAAAAGCTAAGCCTAAAAAAAAAAGATACGTGTTGCCTTTAGAACAAACTGAAGTAAGTTGAAGTTGAGATACTAAAATAACTAAACTGAACCTGAAAAAAAAAAAAAAAGATAAATAGGAAAAAAAACTAAATGATGAAATCACAACAAAATGATTAACACTTAAAATGGATGAAAATACAAAAATAACTAATAAATACTACTAGTACATGAATAATACCTTTAGTGGCTAGATTAACAACATAGCACAGCCTTTTGTAGCATGCTGCTTGAATCAGAATGTTTGCAATCTCTAACACACATGCACACTCATTTAATTATTATTCTCTGTGGCAACAATCATCCAGTACATACAGAAAAGGAAAGAAAGGCTTTTGAGACCTGATAATAATCTGTGTGCTATTTTAAGACGCAACTCCTACCGTGAAGAGTGGGGGGGCTTGGTGGTGTGGGCTGCTGATGTCACTACTGTTGCTGGGCAACTGGTGTGCTTCCAGTTGGGAGTAAGTGGCAATGACTGCTGGCTGTACTAATGATCTTAACGTGACCCTGAGCGTCGGCACCCGTCTTTGAGCTGGCCGTCGTGTGCGCTTGAACCCTGTCACAGTCTGTCAGTTTTTGACTCTGGTAAACTTTATCAGTCTGCTAAATCAACGTCAGTGACGTCAAGTGGCTGGCAATAACATTGAAAAACAGGTGAGGGTAGAACATGAACTTCAGAAGGAATAAATTAGCAGTTTCCACCAAAATTGAACTAACTGGGTTAAGCACACCTACTCGTTCCTCTTCATTGATTTAGTGTTAAAGTTTTTTTGCACCCAAAACTCGTAGTTGTAGTTTTCCATCTTTTCTCTGACCCTTACAATTAAACATGTTGTATTTTACCAGTACTGCAAAAATAAATAAATAAATAAATAGTGACTTAAAATGATGGTGTGTTTGTAACAGAAAGCTATTGAATGGCTTCAGAAGATGTGAAGTATAGTGTACAAGTCTCATCAACCACTTGTGATGGGCTGTGCCTGCAGTCGCCCCCTAAAACGTATTAGTGTACTAATATAATCCACATGAAAACAAGTAAATTAATTTGAATGCGGCCATGAAAATTTTGAATTTATCAGTGTGATATCAGCCAATTTATTCTTTCTAATTTTTTTTTAGACTTAAAAAATTCATTACAACACATGCAAGTGCAGAAAAACAATCCTTTAACAACTGGACCACTATTAATATGTGACAAAGTAAACATGCTAGATGTCCAGACAGATGTTTTTACCATTGCGCCTCATGTCTTTTGTCACGGCAATCTAAAAATGCGGCACTGAAGTTAAAATAAGTACAGCTTTTAACTTACGTGTCTCTGGGCTTTGTGTAATTTGTCAATGCACTGCCCTATATCTTGCATTTTTAAACCCAAAAATGCTGTGTGAACTGCCCCTAATGGCATACTCTCCGAGTACACTGTTAAAAATAAAGGTGCTTCACGATGCCATAGAATAACCTTTTTGTCTAAATGGTTCCATAAAGAACCTTTAACATCTGAAGAACCTTTCTGTTTCACAAAAGGTTATTTGGGACGAAAAAAGGTTCTTCAGATTATAAAAATTTAAGAAAAAGTTTTAAGAATACTTTGAATTTGGACATAAATACAGTTTTTCACCACCTTTTTGCCTAAATAGCAGAGTAGTAGGTATCTTGAGATGCAGCCTAGCTTTTAAAGTGATTTAGCATGTTTAGACACACGAAAGGTCCAGTCCCCGTGCATTATAATTGCATGGAAATGAATGACCTGCACATTCTTTAGAATTTCAAGAAAGTCATACGAGTTTGGAACAACATGGTGTAAATAAATGACCTAAATGCTAATCCGTGAATATTCAGACACACTTCCCGCTCTCTGTGTGTGCGTCTACACGCTGTGTGTCACCTGTGAAAATATCGTTTGAGTTTTCTGCATTACTCGCATATGGCAGCAGCAGACAGACTCGTGGTGCCACACGCTGCGATGCCAACAGTTTTCTGTCTCACTCTCCATCTCTCTCTCTTTTTACCAGTTACTCTCGCTCTCTCTCTCTCTTCTTGCTGTTCACAGCTCTCCTGTAGCATCTGGCTCAGAGACGGATGACGAACAAGTCTGTGTTCTATTTGTGAACGCTTTGCTCTGTCATGCTGTCGTCTACCGATTGTGAAGAATTTTTCACTTTTGATGATGATGTTTATTTATAAGCCAGTCATGTAATTTATGCAAGCACACAAACGCAGGTGTGAATGCTGGGTCAATGCAGTGTTTTACAGTACATACTTAATATGCGCTGTTGCATTGTTGTAATGTAAAACACCTTAGTACTAAATGGGGGTGGTTGAGTTTTCTTGAAACGTCTGTCATTAAACTGGATGTTATATGAGATGACTAGCTATAAATATGTTAAACTAACCATCGGGTTGCGATGTAACAGCTTCTGTCTTGGGACCTACATCTGAGGAAACAAATGTGTAAAAAAAAAAGAGAGAAATAAACAGGGATGTGGCTCAATCCATAAATTGCTGATTGGATAAATTAGGCAAATCTGAATACAGTCTCGCAGTGGATTGTGAGAAAGGGGTGGGGTTTAAGAAAGCTAAATGATTGGATAAGTCCTGCATACATCACCAGAGAGAAGTTAGCTGTTTCACCGGAAGATCAAGTTATGACAGTTTGATCATTAATTTAACATTATGATGTAAAAAGAACTGAACATTCAAATAGATTAATATTTTTTTAAATAATTTTTTTACAAAAATATTTGTTAATTTCTAATTCATGCTCTATTCAATTTCCATTTTTCATTTAATATTTTCTATTTTACTGATTTAATATTTCTATTTACTTTATTTCAGTTTTAGTCATTTTAGTACTTCGACTTATTACTCGTTTCGGTTAGTTGCCAAGGAAACATTTCCATTTTTCAATTAGATACTTATTTGCATATTCTGTGTTATTAGTTTTTCATGTAATGTTTAGATTTTAGATCATCATTTTTAAATAATTTTTTTACAAAAATATTTGTTAATTTCTAATTCATGCTCTATTCAATTTCCATTTTTCATTTAATATTTTCTATTTTACTGATTTAATATTTCTATTTATTTTATTTCAGTTTTAGTCATTTTAGTACTTCGACTTATTACTCGTTTCGGTTAGTTGCCAAGGAAACATTTCCATTTTTCAATTAGATACTTATTTGCATATTCTGTGTTATTAGTTTTTCATGTAATGTTTAGATTTTAGATCATCATTTTCTATCCTCTCTATGACCCTTTGAAATAACCAGGTTACTGCACCTTTAAGATTGCTATAGGTTAAAGGGTTAGTTCACCCAAAAATGAAAAATTAGCCCACAAATTACTCACCCTCAAGTCATTCTAGTTGTATATGACTTTCTTCTTTCAGACGAATCCAGTCGGAGTTATATTAAAAATGGTCTTTGATCTTTCAAGCTGTTTTATGGCACTCAGCGGGTGTTGCATGCATCAGTCCAAAAGAAGTTAAATAAAAAGCACCCATCCATTAAAAAAAAGTGTCTCACACGGCTCTCACACTCATACTTCATCCGCCCGGAACTGCTTCCGTGTAGGACTGTTGGCACAAGCTACATTACAGTGATTATTAGGTTTTGAATATGGATATTTTTCTTACAAAAACGCATCGATTCGCTACAGGAGGCCTTTGTTCACCCCCCGGAGCCATGTGAGACACTTGTTGACACATTTTTTTTAATGGATGGGTGCTTTTTATTTAACTTCTTTTGGACTGATGCATGCAACACCCGCTGAGTGCCATAAAACAGCTTGAAAGATCAAAGACCATTTTTAATATAACTCCAACTGGATTCGTCTGAAAGAAGAAAGTCATATACGCCTAGGATGACTTGAGGGTGAGTAATTTGTGGGCTAATTTTCATTTTTGGGTGAACTAACCTTTTAATGGCCTCTTTTCTGATTGGTAAACCTCTTTGCATGTGAAATGAGTAGCTAGACCCCATCAAAGTTGCTGAATAATAAATACTAATTGATATGCAAATATAGGCGATCATATGTTAATTAGCTTATGTTTGTGACTTAACATAAGTCATGACCTGCTTATGCAGCTCTCATCACTATGGTTTCTCTGTGTTGTAGAAAGTGGCTCTTCCATCACTGCGTCTTGTGTTGGTCTGGGCTGCTCACTCACTCCCCCTGCTGGTACAGCTGGCAAAGCCGTGCCCGGATACAACGGTGAGATTCCTCCTCTACATTGGCAGGCTTGGTGTGGCACATGTGCACGACTCATCATTTGTTTATTACAAACTATTTCTTATTATGTATTAGAGTTCCTTTTGATTGACAATTTTTAGCTGGATAGTTCAATAAATGACTGAAGTAATTAAACGCTCTTTATCTTTGTCTCATAGTGACAGTGATTGATGATGAAATGCAACAGGTGAAACCAAGGACTCTTGGAAATATTGTGGTAAAGTGAGTTATTTGAATCCTTTCCTCTTTTTTTATTGATAGAGACAGTAGGAAGGGGGCAGAAAGTTATGAGGAATGGAGAACGTTAATAGGATCAGGCTAGATATGAACCCGCATACCCTGCATAAATAGTTCAGTGTATTTGCCCACTGCTCTGACATACTCTCTTTTAGGGCTGAGCGATAAATATGTCATGATGCATCAAGATATCCTAACTGGAACATGATTGTTACTGCTTAAAACTATTTGTGAAAAAAAGTGAACATAAAATGAAAATTGACCCCATTTACTTTCCTAATGCACAATTCATGATCACATCGAAATGTAACAAGTTACACCCCTTGACAATACCAAACTCTTGCTTTCAACCACCTGCCATATAGAGAGCACGTTTCACAGTCCAGTCAGTTTCAGATGGATACATCCAGTCCCATCTCACATTTTTTTAAAGATCCCCTTTTCCTCAGAAATGCATTGCACAAGCACAGTAAAATACAGAGTAAAAAGTCATTTTAATATATAATTGATTATACTAATGTAACAAGAAATGACTGACTGACTTCTGCAGAACACACAAAAAAGTATTTTGAAGTACATTGGTGAACAAACAGTTTGGTTACCTGTTGACTTCTGTTGTATGGAGAGAGAAAAAACACAGACATTTCTCAAAATGTTATGCAGATGAAAGTAAGACAAGCAAGTTTGGAACAACTTGAGGGTCAGTAAATAATGACAGAATTGTCATTTCTGAGTGAAATACTCATTTAATATTCCGTTCTACAATCCTAAAAAATTCCTAAAAATGTTTCCGTCCAAGAAAGGTTTCCCCCCCCCCCTTTTTTTAGTTTTTTGTTCCTCTGAATATTGTCACTTACGTTCATACTTAAAAGTAGGGATGCACCGATACCACTTTTTCCAGTACTCGCCCGATACCAATACTCTTATTTTTGGTACTTGCCGATACCGAGTACCGACACCAATATTTTGTTCGTTGCGTTTGTAAATTTTTTAAATATTGGGTACAGAGACCAAAAGAGTATGTATAATGTTAGTTGGTTAACTTCATTTATCAAATAGATACAGTCAAACGTCTCTGAACAATTTAATAATGCAGGGAACCACTCGCTATAAATCTCTATAAATAAAACTGTGACATTTTCATAAATAGAAGTTGCGGTTTTTCATCTGAAACGTGCAGCGATTTATTTTCCAAAGCCACTCATATAATGCAGAAACACTCATGAAGCAAGCAAAACACGCGTGCACGTATTTGTAATGGTGCCGAATCAGAGGAACAAGTACAGTACAGCCTAGCGCATTTCACACAGGCTGTTAGTTTCACTTTCGCCAGAAAGTCGTGTATGCTTAATGGTGAAAATAAATGACGTTTATAGTGAATGCCCCTATAAATTGTCTTATTTTTACGATTTAGTTTTAATCCAAATGATGCGTGCTAAGTGAGCGAACATCAATAAAGATCACACAACAGAAGTGCGCGCTCTCTCTCTCTCTCTACCATTAAGTAACATGTGCATTGTTTCACTTACATCTTTTTGACATATCTGACCGAACTACAAACTTTCCAGTGATGTCTGTGAGAAAGGGATATTCACTCGACAAGCTTGCGCATCTGCGCCGCCGCACGCTCAATCCACTCAGCGTTATTTGCTTACCAGCTGGCGCAAATCAGCTATACAGGCATTAATACTGAATGTTTTATATTCATTGCGTACATATACTTCGTAGACATCTTTAATCTCTAATAACCCCATTTTGCTGTCTGTTGTCGGCATTTCTTTGTCTGAATATGGCACTTGTCACATGCTGTGTGGTATCGGTGTTTGGTATCGGGTATAGCTCAGTATCGGGCCCGATACCGGTGCATCCCTACTTAAAAGCATTCTCTGACCCTGAAAGGTTGAAAACATCCTGTTCTTTGATGGTTCAAAGAAGAGCAAGGTCACATCTTAAATGTTTTTTTCTCTAAAAGCGTCTCTTTTTCTTCTCTCATCAGGCTTCCTTTGCCTCCGGGGGCAGCTCTCAGTCTCTGGCAGAATCAGATGCTGTTTAAGGAGCTGTACTTCACTAAGTTCCCTGTAAGAGTTGAGCTACATTCACCATGTGCTCTACAATTACATACACTACCAATCTTACTTAGTCCAAACTTTTGCCCAGTAATGTTTTTGAAAAAAGTCTCTCATGCTCACCAAAGCTGTATTTATTTGATGAAATAATACATTAAAATAGTAATATTGTGAAATATTACTACAGTTTAAAAGAAGATCTTTTCTATTTTCATGTATTTTAAAATGTAGTTTATTCCTACAGTGGCAAAGTTGAATTTTCAGTGTTACATGATCTGTCAGAAATCCTTCTAATATGCTGATTTGCTGCTCAGGAAACATTTCTTCTTATCAATGTTGAAAGCAGTTGTGCTTCCTTTTGTGGAAACTAAAGTAAACTCAAGTTTGTAATAATAAAAAAAAATAATAATAATAATACTTTTATACAGCAAGGACATTAAATTGATCAA